CCCTTTGTTTTCTTCCTTATATGCACGAAATTTCTACCCAAATAAACCCAAAGAAGATCAGCTCAAAATCAGGAGAAGCATCATGGAAGATCAACTCACATGGATGGGCATTAAGCATTGATTTGTAGGAAAGTAGGAAGCTTCCTTGTTGTATTCTTCCTTCATTGTTCTTGTATTTTTCCTTATTTGTTGTTGTATAAATACTTCAGCCATGAGGCCATTGTAACACACCAGATTATTGAATTTAAAACCTTTGTTTTACTCTTTGAGTAATTCTTTAAAATAGTGTGATGCTATTTTAACCAAATTTCCTAATGAAATATCTCTAAAGTTGGCTACTTTTGAGTGCGTGTTAGGAGTCTAATTTTATACATTAGTAGTGATTATTAATGTGTAAAAGAAGATAAAAGCCCCAAGTTAAGATAAGAGTGTGTCATATCTCTTAACACCAACTTGGTTTATCCCTTCACTCTATTTCTGCCCATTTCATTCCTCACCATTTCTTCTTCTTAAACTTATTCTTTTCTCTCATTAACAACACCAAAAAGAACTCTTTCCCACACTCCATATTTTACCCCTTCAGTTCCATCGTCCATTTTCCTTGCAAATTCTTCTCCAAATTAGCTACATAAGAACCCGGGTCTCGGGTACAACAGGGAGGATTTTTTTTTTGTAAGAACTCCAGAAGCTGAAGTGAGGAAGTAAATGAATAGGAAGGACAGAGCAAGAGAGAGACGAGAGAAGAGACGCCAAGAGATTTGTTTTCTCCGCTCCATTCCCTACTCAGATCACCAAAGGTACATAGATATTCTCAAAAGGTTTAATTTAACCTACTTTATCTGATGAATTCATGGAGATGTGTTCTTTAAATTGTGGATTTTTTCCGACTACAAACTGTTCCAAGTGTTAAGTATATCGAGCATTTTGGATTGAAGTGATCAATTTGGCTGGTGCAAACAGATGTTTATCATTTTTAGAGTAATGCAGAGAATTAAAGATTTGGTATGTACTCTGGTACTTCGCATTAGCTAAGGGTTTATCTTTGGCCTTTTTGAATATACATATCCAATGATAACATTTAACTTTACTACTACCTTTCTATTCGTAAAATTTGAGTTTTAAATAAATTCTTCTTATCATCAATTAAATAAAATATACATTGCATATTAATATGATGAAAGTATATGAATTAAATAACTTTTTGTTAAAGTTATATGATGAAAGTATATGAAAGTATGATGAAAGTGTACTTTCATCATGAAAGTATATGATGAAAGTATACATTACATTGCATATTAATATGATATACATTGCATATCAATTAAATCTTGAGGATTTAAGGTCTGTCATGGTACATGACAGTCACTACCTTCCTGTTTCCTACATTCTGGATTGTTTTATTGGGGGATTGAAGGCCAACACCAGGGTATTTGTTAAAGCCTTTAAATCTGATCCAAGCACAAGGAATAAAAATTCTGATGCCTGCATTTCTGTTCAAACCCTTACTGAAAGATACAGCTGCCAGACTATGAAATTCCAATTTGGGACACATCTTTTGAATTAAAAGGAATGGCAAATAGGAAAATGCAGGTAGTAGAAGGGGCCACAACTGCAAAGATGTTTAGGAACTCCATCCATTTTTTCTTCTTACAATTCTTCGTAGGAGTAGAGGACATGATTCCTAACATGGTACAATGATGTGAAAATACAAGGGAGGATGATTCATTTTAGAGTTTGAAGCTTTAAAGAAGGATTACAGTATGATCTTTGAAGATCCAACAAAACTGCCTCGGTGCCTCCTTTTAGGAGAGTGTTTGATCCGGGTATTCTACCTTCTCTAGTAACCATCCTTGACAGAAGGACACAAAAGATGCAGAAAAAAGTTCAAGATGATAAACATAGATTAGAAAGATCCTTCAATGATGGGGGTTGAGCATGGTTGGAACTTCAGCCATACAAGCAACAATCTGTCGAAGTTCATATTCCACTTTTGTTCCAAGGGCAATCATCTACAAAGCTTCCCATTCCAGCAACTTGGGAACCAGTTGATGATTTTCAAGCTAAGACTTGAGGACAAGTCTTTTTGAAAGAGGAAGCAATGATACAACTTTGCTGACGTGGAGTATGTTATATTAGTTAGCTAAGGGTTAGTTAGTTAGCTAATAATCAGGGTTGTTGATGCTACTCTCCTTGTATAAATGTTTGGTCATTGTAAGAAGAAAGACAAGAAATAATACAATCAAATTCCCCTCTTAACAATCTTCTCTCTCTCTATCTCTCTCTCCCCCACACCTAACTCTCAATTCTATCCTCTGGTTCGTCTTCTTCCCTGAGACAGAAACCATTCTTCTGTTCATTCTATACAGCAACTTCATCTTACTATAACACAAAACATTGTACTGGGTATTTTTTCTAGGTAATGAGAAGGAAGTTCAAGATTTATTTACCATTAATATGGTCATTGTGTTGACTGTTGAGTAATAAAGAAGGCTGGACTCAGTGAACTTCTTACATCCTCTGTGCTTGAGATTAGATGGTGCATGGCTGCATGCTAAACTGCCAAAGATAGTTTTCCCCAAGCACAAACTGATGAACCCCCAACTGTAATCACTCATTAAATTCTCTGCTAAGTGCATCCTGACAAACAAACAGGACAGATATGGGACACCCTTACAGTGGTTTATGGTTTATTTAGTACTCCTATGTTAATGTACATAGATTGTGTGGCATTCTTTGGTTTTGTTTTCTCTATCCCTATTATGCTCTGTATATCTATTGATTGTTTGTGTATTTCATAAATTGATTTATAAAGTCTACATACAATATTTCTTCATACTGTGGTCATTTATGTGCTTTTATGTTCAGATGGTGGACATCAGACACGATTGCGGTTGTGACTGGTGGAAATAGAGGGATCGGATTTGAGATCGCGCGCCAGCTTGGGACCCATGGGTTGACAGTCATTCTAACTTCACGGGACACAACTTTAGGTTTAGAAGCAGCAAGATTCTTACGAGATGGGGGCTTGAAAGTGGAGTTCCATCAACTTGATATTGTTGATCCTTCATCAATAGATGTATTTTGTACCTGGCTAAAAGAACATTATGGTGGTTTAGATATACTGGTATGACTGTTCTCTCCTAGTCTCTTACTCTCTTCTCCCCTACAAAAACAGTGGGACAACCCAAAAAGAAAAAGTGAAAAAAAAAACACTGGGTATGAGGGAACAGTACTTATTCTTTTGATAATGGGTTGTTATTGTCTTGATTCTTTTGTTAAGTATTTCACCAATGCCTAGCGAACATGCAGATAAACAATGCTGGAGTCAATTTCAATGTCGGCTCAGAAAACTCGGTGGAACATGCTGAAACCGTTATCAAGACAAACTATTATGGCACAAAAAATATTATCAAAGCTGCAATTCCATTAGTGAGGCTTTCAGCTTCTTGTGGCAGTCAAATTGTTAACGTGAGCTCAAGGTTAGGAAGGCTGAATGGGAGGCGAAATGTAAGGCAATACCTATTACTGTTCTCTTTGATGTAATTTTTTATACCCAATTTAACCCTTTGACTATTCTTTATTACTCAATTGGATCATTTACTTTTTTTGGACTTGAACTAGTTCTGAGTATATGCAATTTAGACTCAATTTAGTCACTGTCCACAATTTTTTCTAATTAATAATGGTATTTTCATATACCAATGACTAAGTTAGGTCCAAATTGCATGTTTTAGGTCCAAATTTAGTCCTAATTTGGTATTCAAATAATTGAAGTACCCTTCTCATTTAGAACTATATATGCATATGATTAAATGCTGTCCAAATTTCATAGTCAAAACCAAATTCAGTATTAAATAAAAAGGTTAAAGGTCAACTTGAGTGGTACTCCTTAACCCGAGGGACTAAATCGGGTATTAATCTATTTTATAATCCTCAATGAAACGAACTTAAGTTCAAACTTTGCATGGAATTTTCAACTATTCTACTTCTTCCAAGACTTTGCGAACACTCATTTAGAGTTTCAAAAGCACTCTGATATTTGTTCTATTTTTCGCCTAGAGAATTGGAAATGTGGAATTGAGAAGCAAACTGGAGAACATAGAAACTCTCTCAGAGGAATTGATTGATCATACTCTGAACACATTTTTGGAGCAAGTAAAGGACGGGACATGGGAATTGCGTGGATGGCCTCAGGTTTTCACCGACTACTCAATGTCAAAACTTGGAGTGAATGCTCTCACAAGGCTAATGACGCGGGAGCTCGAACATTCTTCCAGTGGTCAACAGAAGATATGTATGAATTGCTGTTGTCCGGGCTGGGTGAAGACAGGCATGACTGGCTGGGAGGGAAACATTCTTCCGGAAGAAGCAGCTGATACTGCAGTGTGGTTGGCCTTGCATCCCGACCTCTCCTCTGTGAGTGGTAAGTTTTTTGCAGAGAGAAGAGAGATTGGTTTCTAAGGCCAATTGGAGTATTACTCGAAGTTATTACTTATTAGCAGAGTCACGGTTCCCTTGCCACTGCATTACGGTGCCACTGGAATTTTATAGTAAACTCCCTGGCCCGAACTCACCCCAACCCTTCAAAGTTTAGTTGGCTTTGGGGTCAAATTTGACTCCAAAGTCAACTAAACATGGGGGGTCCAATTTACGTGGAGTGCAGGTTTATGTCGGGCCGGGGTGGGGGATTTTCCCGAAAAATTTGAGGGTAAGAAGCATCATTTTTACGAATGGAGCACCGAAGTGTACAGTGGCACGAGAACCTCTCCCTTTTTATTACTATTATTAGTACTCCGTATAACAGTATGTAAAGGGAAAAAACATATTGCCGTTTCTTCATTTACTAGAATCATAATCAACAAAGAATGCTGGTGATACAACAACAAAATGAGGATTATCCAAACATTGCTGAGATTTGGAGGACTAGAATCTTTTTACATTGTAAAACGAGAGTAGTTGTTTCCACTAAACCCTTAATGCATATATCTTTGTTTAAAACTTGATAAAAAGTAAACCTAGCAAAAATTGATTCTATATTTTTTTACTCAAGATTGAGTTTTGAACAAAGATTTTGTTAATCATTCAAATCCAACATGACTGAGTGATTTGCTACCTTTAATAAAAATTAAGCAAATTTTGGTCAAATAACCCGAAACTAAAATATTATTATGAGACGGAGTGATCGAGTAATACTATATAGACTACCAAGAATGTGTCCATCTCAACTGTTTGTTTTTAATCCATTAACTAGAAGCACAAATGAAGCATCATTCATCACTGTAGTAGAATACGATTGAGGGATGATTGATTAACCCTAGCATCAGTATAGAAGCATCATTAGTCTAGAAGCATCATTATATTAACACCACTGCACTAGCATCATTAGAGGTGGCAATCGGGTCAACTGGAACGGTTCCGGATTGGTTTTTTCGATTCGGATTCGGTTCAGTTTGAATTGATTTCATTTTGGTTTGGATTTGATTCGGTTTTGAGTTGGTTCAGATACAGTTCGGATATAAATCGATTAGAATATATTCCGGTTCCGATAGAATTTGGATCAGATATATTTCAGTTTAGGATCTAGTTCCGTTAGGATATATTTCAGTTTCGGATATGTTTCAATTCGGATATATTTCGATTGAATATATTTTGGAAATATTTTATTTTTAATTAAAATTTAATAACCCATGTTTCATTTTTTGTTGTATCACATTTATCAATCTATCATCAATTCAACACCTCATATTATTTTATATTTTTTCTAATTATACTATCTCCACCGTAAATAATCTTTCTTTTTTTGATTTTTAGTCATATTTTACAAATTTGGACTACAAATTATGAAAAATATATATTTATTTATGATATAAAATTAATTGAATGCGTTGTGATTACATGTATATATATATATATATATATATATAAGAGTCTCAATCCTAAACAAGGTAGGAGAAACACAAGGAAGGAAACCTATACAAATAAGGTAAGGGAATAATATAATATATTAAATATATACAATATATTTAACATGCTCCCGGCTACGTCAGATGTGTAGGAGGTCTGATTCCCAAGCTTTTCTTGAAGTCCAAAAATAATAAAGATGGCAGTCCCTTAGTGAAGATATCAGCATACTGCAAAGACGAGGGGACGTGGAGAACTCGCACATGACCCAGTGCTACTTTGTCACGGACGAAGTGGATATCAACTTCCACGTGTTTGGTGCGCTGGTGTTGTACAGGATTTGTCGAGAGATACACAGCACTGACGTTGTCCCAAAAGACAAGGGTGGCACGCCGAAGGGGTTGCTGCAGCTCAAGTAGTAGATTCCGGATCTAGCTCGTCGATTCCGGGAGGTGGTAGCTTGACGCTTGGAGGACCAGGAGACTAGGTTGTCACCGAGAAAGACACAGTATCCAAAGGTGGAACGGCGGGTGTCTGGGCATCCGGCCCAATCAGCGTCGGAGTATGCCTGCAGAGAGTCGGTGGAGGAGCGCGCCAGGTGGATGCCATGGGTGGGGGTGCCACTGAGATAGCGCAGGACACGCTTCATGGCTGTGAGATGAGCATCACGGGGGGCATGAAGGTGTAGACAAAGTTGCTGGATGACATATGTGATGTGAGGACGAGTAAATGTAAGGTACTGTAATGCTCCAACGACGGATCGATAAAGAGTAGGATGAGGGAGTAGTGTGCCTGACGAGGAGGAGAGCTTTGCCTTTGTGTCCACTGGGGTGGAGATGGGGCGGCAAGAGACCATCCCGGCCCGCTCGAGTATGTCATGAGTGAACTGTGTGTGGTGGAGAAATAGGCCACTGGTCGTCCTGTGTACGTTGATGCCGAGGAAAAAGTGTAGGTCTCCCCTGTCTGTCATAGCAAATTCGGCCTTTAGCCGCTGGATGAGATGCTGGAGAAGTGCAGTGGAAGATGCTGTAAGAACAATATCATCAATGTACAGTAGTAGGTAGGAAGTGCCCATGGTGTAGGAGAAAACAAATAATGATGTATCCGACTTGCACCCGTGAAACCCAATAGTCTGAATAAAACTGGCAAATCTGTGATACCACGACCGCGGTGCCTGGTTAAGCCCATAGAGGGCCTTCTTGAGTCGACAAACATAATGAGGTTGAGCGGGATCCTGCAACACGGAAGGCTAACTGGCGTAAACTGTCTCCTGTAGCTGACCATGGAGGAAGACATTTTTGACGTCTAGCTGGTGAATGGGCCATCCTCTGGATAGAGCAATGCTAAGAATGATACGGACTGTAGCAGGTTTGACAACGTGGCTGAAGGTCTCGTCGTAGTCGACGCCAAAGCGCTGATTGAAACCGCGGACCACCTAACGGGCCTTGTACCTGGATAACTCACTTGATGGGCCAAGTTTGTGTCTAAAAAGCCATTTTCCAGAGATTATGTTTTGAGTGGGGGAGGAGGGGGTACTATTTCCCATGTTTCATTCTTGATCAAGGCATTATATTCATCACACATAGCAGCATGCCAGTTTGGATCTTTTAGTGCACTACGGTAAGTTGGGGGTTGTTGGAGTTGGTGCCCTTATGGCCAACTGCTGTTGTAATATCTTAGATATTTTCTATCATGTAAAGGCAGATGCATTAAGTTTACAAACATCTCATGCTAATGTAAACTCTTAATTGCATTCTTAGAATTATATTATAAGATGTTTATCAGAATGAGTCTTCTGATGTTGAGACTGACATCTTGTCACTTAGTATAATTCTAAACAGTCTATAGTCGAAGCATTAACGAGAGTGGGATATTGTTAGTGCGCGTGAGACTAGTGAGAGTTAGATGTTTGACCTAGTCTCTTGGTCAATGACGGAGTGTTCGCATCTACTCTCGGGCAGATATTATCGTTAATAATAGGATGCCAGACCTGACCCACCTTAAGGACATTGCCTAGACTTTTAGTCTATGCTATAAGTGTCCTTAATGCGACTATTGGTATAATGATCATTAGACTTGAAGTATTACGTTCTTCGAATGCGTGAACCCGTATGCTTTGATTCATTGTCCTAAGCCGTATGAAATAAGGATGGTACACAGGCTTTGGATTGGGCATGCCGCTACACGTATTCGAAGACGTAGATTACGTATAAAGAATTTGTCACTGCTACTTAAGCAGAATAATGTCTTGTAGGGGCCGCTGATAAGTATGACTGAGAAAATGCATGGCCATGCTGAGATGAGTTTAGACATCTGTTCTCATCAGTCAGACTTGTTAATCAGTAAATAACTTAATGGCTACAAGTTGGATATTTTATATCCCTTGCACTAAGTTAAGACATTGGGACAAAAGGATCTACGTTATACAAAGTCTTAGTCGTAGAAAGGTTTTGACGGAGCAAACATCTGAACTTATAATCTGGGGGTAATAATGTGTTGCTAGATACCGCTTATTACTTATAGTATTGGTGTAGAGTCAATACTGTGGCCAGTTTTATAAGTGCCTATATGGGTCACACACTTTGAACAATTTAAAGAGTAGAATTATAAGAAGGGATAATATTTAATTTGTATATTGTAAAATAGTAAAATAAAATGTTTAATATATATATATATATATATATATATGTATGTATGTATATATATATATATATATATATATATATATATATATATATAGGTTCTGGTGAGAATGCAATCTTAGGAGAGAAATGAGAATGAGAAATGAACCTATATATATATATATATAGGTTCCGGCCCCTGTATATATATATATATATATATATATATATATATATATATATATATATATATATATATGCTTTGTACACGCCACACACATATGTCCATGTGTACAAATGTGATGTGCGTACATATATTAATATATGTAACATGCCTTACAACGTAGTATATTACATTATACGGAGTATATTATATTATGTACATTTTATTTTGGAGTGCCATTTTAATTATGAAAATAATTATTTTGACAAAAACTATTTTAAAGTATATTTTATATACTTGTTTTAAAATGTTTTGGGTATTTTATTTTATATCATAAAAATTATTGATGTCAAATAAAACACACTTTGAACATTTGGAAGGAGAAGAATTAAATTCTTCCCCCCTTTCCACTTTCGTACTATACACATGGGATGGATGGGTGGCTTTGTTCCCATCATACCTTAAAGTACTTTTGTACTTTTGTTTTTATATGTATGTATGTTACATGGAGAATACTATGTGTACACCATATGGGTACACCACTTGTACCCCATACATACCCCTTCCCATAACCCCCTCCTCCTTCTCCCTCCCCCCATCTTTCCATAACCCCCCTGCTCTCTCTCTCTATCTCAGAATATTTTACCGACGAAGCAGGAGCGATCGACTACCGGAAGACCAGTCCTCCCAGAGCTCCTTCTTGGTCTTCCTCGTTCTTCCTCTGTAGCAACCCCTACTTCGCCATCCTCCATCGAGTGCATCCGTAAAAGATCCAACTTGGCAAAGAGCGCCTCCCTCGTCTTCTTCGATCGGTTGCACCCATCTGGCCACTGTAAAACAACAAATTTAAGGTAATAATAAATACTTATATTTCAATTTTAGGGTTTTTATTTTGTAAATCTAGATTCAAACGCTCAATCCTTCCCTTTTGTGAAATTAGCCTTTATTTATGTTTTTTGTGAATCATTGTTTCTTGAACTTGTTAAGTTGTTTATTTCCTTTTTGAATCTTTTCAGGTGCTAATTTTTCAGTAATAACTTGTTGTAATTGGGCATTTTTCATGTTTATTACGAAATGTCTGTGTAGTACTTCTTACTGGTGTAAAATGTTTGTATTCTAATTAAGAGTATTAGATTTCAAAACTTGTTTTGAAATGTCTATGATTTGCTTCTTGCTTGCATAAAATGTCTGTATTTAAAACAGAACTTGTTCTGTTTCATTAATTACTCGAAAGTGTTTGTGAAGTGCTTGTTACTGGCATAGAATGTCTGTTTTCCAAATAAGGGTGCTCAATTTCAAAACTTGCTATGAAATGTAGTCTTTGAAGTGCTTCTGTGCTTTTTATGAGTGTGAAATGCCTGTATCTTAATTAATAGTTTGAAATGTATTTCGAGTGTGTATTATTAGCTTAAAATGTATGTATTTCATAATCACCAATGTTAAAGATTTGTCAGCCAATAAATCACTGTTGTTTTACTTTGGTTGGCACATGAGGAATATGAATTCTACTATCTAGAAAGTGTACATGATTTATGTTTACTTCATAAATATTTGTTATTTGTGATAAATAATAATTGTGATTGAATTACTTTTCTTGAGCATACATGGAGCTCACAAATGTTTACTGTCTGTGAATTTTTAATCGCAAATACTGCGTGTCTATAATCACAGATACTACGTATTTGTAAATGCCTAAATACAGAGACTAAGTAAATTCTTCGGTTAAAACTGTTAACTGCTTGTAGAAGTAAATCCCATAGTCATAGATAGCTAATGTGTTGGTTGGAATGTATTGTTAGTTTTGATTTAAATTTGCTTCTTGCAGAGAATGGCCGAAGTCAATATTGGTGATGGAAAAGATGGAATCATCACATGTCACTAGAATTTTTTATTCTGAAATTTTGAAGGATGTAATGTTTGGTATACAAAGTTTGGGGGTGTTACAATTTTGGATGTTCTTAGTTCTTTTTCTTGCTTTAATTGTGGAATTGAAAAGGAAAATTTAATTTTGCTTTGTTTGTTTCTCATTCTTGAAAACAATATCTCATTGTGCTATATTATAACTTACACTTTATTGTAACTACATCTCCCCCTTTTTACTATATCTAATTCTTGGCTCTTTGTAGTATTATTTGTTGTGTTTTATGGTCACATAGACAAAAACTGTCTGTAATTCATCAAAAACAGATGTTTATTGTCTATGTAAAAATCCATCAAATATACCATGTAATGGAACATAAAGAACATTTCACAAATTCTCTATCACAGACACTAGATGTCTGTAATTTCAATGACACAGACGGTAGATGTCTATGTGATAGATAATTACACACACAAAAACATACTTCGTACCAAATACCAAGTATCCAAAAGATCATATACCAACATACTATTCAAATAAAAAAATGGTTTGGTTGATGGACATCGACAACAGCAATAGGTGAGAGATATCCAACAACGGTAGGTGAGAAACACCCTCCGGCTAGAGCACCGGCAACGATTTAGAAGAAACCCAACAACGGCGGTGTGCAGGGAAAGCAGGTAGGACGCGATGAATTTTCGGCGGCGAGTTGTAGTGGTTCGACTAATAGTGTAAAAAAGAATCAGGCGAATTTGGTCACACAGACACTATAAGTTTGTGACTATTCAAACACAGACATGTAATATATGTATTTAATGTATGAAAAGTGCATTTGTCAAATATACCAAATAATATTTCACAATTTCTTCTTATATTGTAAAAATAAAGTAAATATGCACAAAGTAATGTTTGGTCAAATAGACAATAAGCAATTGTAATTCATTAAAAACAAATGTTTATTGTCTGTTTAAGCTATATAAAAATTAATCCAACAAACATACACATAATGGGGCATAATGAACATTTCACAAGTTTCTCTAGATTGTAAAAAAATAAAAAAGCAATAATTACCACTGTTTAGTTACATAGATACTAAATATATGTAATACTTGATACATAGACATTTATTATCTGTGTAACCTGAATGAAAATTTCACTCGTTAAATATGCCAAATAATAGAGTATCAAGAGCATTTCACAAATTTAATTGTGTTTAAAAGAAAAGACAAAAACAACAATCAACGTTGTTTAGTTACACAGGCACTAAAGCTCTGTAATTGTTGGAACATAGACCTTTACTGTCTGTGTACTCTGAGTGAAAATTGCACCACCATCTCTGCCAAAATCAACTACTCCGGCGACGTTGTTGAAGACGAAGAAAGTTGCAGCGACGATCATAGAGGAGTGGGCGACGACGGAGAAGCAGGTGGCGGCGAAAGAATTGAAGGCGTGGTTCGTCGCCCTACTTCGATCCAAATCTCCACGGCAACAACGACGATGATGGCGGCGTTTTGACGCTTCTGGGCGGCTGCGGGGAGCCCACGGTGTGCAACTTCCAGGGGGCGCCGGGTGGGAAGATATATGGCAACGGGGAGTTATGATGTATGAATTAGATCTACAAAAAGTTGAAGAAAAAAAGAAGAAAACCGAAGGAGAGAGATGGAGAGATAAGATTGAGAAATTGGATGGGAAGAGAAAAAAAAGGGAGGGGAGTAGGGAAGAGGGGAGGGGGGAGTATATGGTGTACGCACATGGGGTACACAAGTGGTGTACCCCTAGCGGGACTCATGTTACATACCATTATTATTTTGATGATGATGATGTACATTAAATACACTCCCCTCACTTTCCCAAAAAGTATGCACGAAAATAATAAGGAGCAAGAGAGAGGAAATTTTGGTTTTCAAAATTATTATTTTGGGTGTAGAAAATTGATATAATATTTTCTTTAAAATATTATTGATATATTTTCTACTATTTAATATACAAGATTAATATTATCCCTCTTAAATCTTTATATTAAATATACTATTATAACCTTTACTAGCATAAAGATTATAGTAGACTCCGGAGATTGTTCGTGTGTCAAAGTTGGAGGCCGGACGCTTGAACGGCTACGTTTGCTCCTTCAACATCTTTACCGGAGAAGGTATAAGTTTCTATCTCTAGCTATAGTTTTAGTACGTGTTCTTGAGATAGTAATCACTACTGGGAGATTAAATTTTTTGTATTTCCGCTGCCCTCCCAACCGTGGTTACCTTTCAGTGGTATCAGAGCCAACGTACAAAACTATAGTTTTTCGTAGAACTTTTCGGTAAAAAATTATTTTAACTTGGTAATTATTTGTTAATCTCGAAAATTAGTAAAATGATTTACTTTAGTCTTGGAATAAATATTGGACTTAAATAAATCATTAAAATAAATATTCATTATTTATTTGTGCCAAAAATATGTATTTTATACATATATTTGGAAATTTCGAATATATATTAATATATGTATATTTCAAAATTGTTAATATAATTTTATTGAACTTAAAATTTCATTTTATGGTTAGTAAAATTATATTGTAATTTTAGAAATTGTTTATTTCCAATTTTTGAGTCAATTGTATTTGTTTAGATTTAATTCCAATAAATCTTAAATAAATATTGGAAACTCAAAAATGAACTTTATAAAACTTGGAAATATTATTTCTAGGTGAAATAAAGTTGTTGATAAATATATTGGACAAAATAATATTAGTTAGTAATTAATTATATATATATATATATATATATATATATTTCGGTATATATATATTACCGAGTAATATATATAGATATATATATATTAATTGAAAATGGCTAATATCATTTTGGAAAATTATATCTCAGTAAAAAGTAAGTTGATTTTTCTAAATATTAAATTTTATAATTTAATAATTTTTGAAAAATGATTTAAAATTATTTTTGCAATTATTGAGATATAATTAATATATTTGGGAAATAAATATTTATAAAGTCTGGAAATTTATTTTTCCGGTTTATAAATGTGTAAAATAGTTACTGGAAGTTGGAAATTAATTTTCATGTTTTTGCAAATTTATTTCAAATTTAAAATGAATTTTTGAATAAACATTGCACTAGGGGTATTTTCGTAATTCTGTGTTTCCTGGAAATTTATTTTTAAGTTTTGCCCCTGCGCGAAAGTCTCCTAATGTATTTAGGATTACTTGGTAAAATTTCATAATTTTTGGACCAATTTATGAATTTTTATGAATTTTAGAAAATATTACCAACGTAGTATTTTTCTAGAATTATCTGGGGCGAGCGCGGTTCACCCGGTGTATGTATATCTCTATTGCCTGTGTGGATGTATGATATGCATGGTGGATGATTCTGGCTTTAGTTATTCATTATTGATGTAATTTAAATACGGTCTGCGTGTCGTGCCTTATCTCTTAAACTCTCGTTGTAAATCTATTTCTCTCTCTTACCTCAACCGAGGATTCTTTTCTCACGTGGTGGTTAGAAGATAAAAGATTTGAAGTCCATTCGAGGGAATCTAAAGGAATGGAGATAGCCCAAAGTCCAAGAGCCTGTAAGTCAGTGGGAGCTATCGTTTTATTTTTCCTTTAGGAGCCACAATCATTACACGTTTATTTATTGCGTATTTTGAATGCATGTGAATGTATGTTTAACGCTAGTAAATTGACACGTGCGCGGCATGTGTCGTAGGTGAGATCGTAAAATATAAAATCCCTGAAAATATTAAGTCTGTATTGCCTTCCGGCGCCTGGCACCTTTCCAGCTAATGTGCACTGTCACGTACTCAGCCCTAGCAGAGCATAGTACGGTGTATGTTATGCTGGTCACGGGAATCACTTAAGTGGTCATTGTCAGACGTTGGGTTAGACTTAACTGAGTCTCGGTCAAATGGATGGATGACTCAGAGGTGGGTTTTGTTGGGGTCAATATACTGACAAGTCGAATTACTTTATTCACTCATCCAGCCAGAAGTTGGGTCTCTATGACTTAATTGGGCTTTGCCTTAACTAAAGTAGTTGCGCATGTGGTACGTGCCAAAGCCAATCACATGTATGATGAAACGGTGTTCTGGTCCGTTAGTAGTATTGTCGTTCGCCCAACACAAGACCAAGAACTGTGAGCGCGGCTCGACAGTTGGAACTATGTTCCTACCTAAATAGTTAAATTCTAGGTACGAACCTCAGGTCAACTGGAATTTAATGATATATGGATCTTGGCCCATTAAGAGAATCTCTAGGAGAATCTCCGAATCAACATTGAGGGTTGTTGGTTTGTTAAAATAGTGGGAAATAATTAATTAAAAGGCCTAATTAATTATT